ACAATATCTGAATGATAATATTAACTGTGATTAAAGTAAGCAGTGTCCATTGTATGTACTGTATTTGCCAGTGTACAAGACACCACCCTTTTTTATACACATTTTTGAAGGAAAAAACTTTATTACTGTTCATTATAATGAATTTAATGTATTTTCAATATATAGTAATACAAATACAAAGTAATACTTTCTGCAAATACCTAATCTATCTGGGAAAGAACACCTTTTAATCCTTTTCGTCAAAACCTTTAAATCTTCTTCACCATAACTTGGCAACAAATTTAAGAAAATAGAACAGAAATTTCACACACTTTAAAAGTTTTTCACAAAAACTGGAAAGTTTAAATGAACCCAGCTATGATCATCGATGACAGTGCATGTGCATTCACTGAAGTCTATATAACTGTAATATTCCCACACTCCGCAAAGAAACAAGGAAAAAACATCGCATAACTCTGAACAAAGGAAATTTCCAGAAATAAATGTAATCAAAAACTGAGTATTGATGTATAAGTTGTTTATATTAATAAAAATAATTTATTTTATTTTGTCTCATTGAAAATGAATTTTAAAGAGCATACAATTTGAAGTACTAAGATAGGAATGAGCAAACTATAGTCCGCAGGCCAACTCTGGCGCGACGGAAGGTTCTATCCAGCCCGCAGATAGAATTTTAATTTACCATTCCAAAGCAAATTAAAAGAAATATATATTTATATATTATACATCCATCTCCTTTTCTACTTTGTTTAAATAATATTATTTTCTTCCATTTTTTCAAAGGACTGATGATCTTTTTACTTTCTCTATTTTTGTTCTACAAAACATAAATCGACGGAAATAGCAAGCACAGACAGCTTTCAATTGGTAATGTGTTAAAAGTGGATGTTCTTTATTAATTATAGCTGTAGATTGGTGTCAACATGAGTTATCTCTTTCTCAGGGAGCAGACATATGGGAATTCAGTATACATGAATTAGACCTCACATGTGGCAGACTACACATTTTAAGCTTCAGCAAGCGGCTTTTTCTTTTGGCACAAGTTTTAATATTATTGATTGCATATGGAAAGATTGCGGACATATAGCATCATTGTGAATAGTGGTGAAATTATTAAAAGTATAATGTAGCTAGTGCTTGTTTGGGTTATTCATAAAATATTTCAACTCCAAAATGGCTACTAAATACACAAAGCTGATTCAGAGTGTCCTGCTTTTAATGATGAATGTACATGGAAATATTTTTTATAGTTGATAAAGATAAACCAGAGTGTCTCATCTGCAATGAAACTGTAACAGTCTTCAAAGAAAGTAATAGTTCCCTTCATTTCACATCTAAGCATAAGAATTCCAACTACAAAGCAGTGTCCGAATATGAAAGAAAACAAAATGCAGAAAGTCTTTGCAAAAAATTATCAGGCTGACAAAATTTTTTCAAGAAGGTAAACAGTATCCAAGAAGCAGCTACACATGCAAGTTACATTGTAACATACAATATTGCTAAAATTAATAAAGCTCTCAGTGATGGGGACTTCGTTAAACAATGCATGCTCCAAGTTTGTGATGTTTTATGTCCAGACAAGAAAAATAATGTTGAGACTGCAAGCTTATCTCGAAAAAAGGTGAATTTTAGAATCTAAGCCATCGATAAAAATTTGACATCACAATTAGAGTCAAAGATTGACCAGTTTAAATTTTGCTCCATAGCTATGGCTGAAAGCACTGATGTAAATGATACTACTCAACTAGTAATATTTATAAGAGTTATTGATGAGAACTTTGAAGTCACCATGGAATTGGCGTGCATGAGTTCTTTAAAGCGAACTACAATGGGATAAAATATTGTTCGTGAATTTCAGGAAGGGTGAAACTTTGAAAAATTTTTAACTTTGAAAGTGCCTATAACAAATAAATGTAATAGTACGACCAATGCAGCACTAAATATAATAGGAAAAAATATGGATTTCTTGGACTCTAATCAAAACTATCCTGGGAACAATATTGTTTTTCTACATTGTGTTATACATCAAGATGCTCTACGTAAATCATCATGAATATGAAACCTGTGCTTGATGCAGTCATGAAGCTTGTAAATACTATTTGATCTTGTGAGCTTACTCACAGGCAATTTTGAGATTTTCTTCAGATTTCATACAATCTGAATACTCTGATGTACTGTACTACATGAAAGTAAGGTGGCTTAGTGCAGGACGTGTTTTCGAGCACGTTTGGCAGCTGAAAGATGTCATTGTGTCGTTCTTCCATGAGAAACAGGGTTCTGCGGAGTGCGAAATGTTGGAAGCTACAGAACGGCTTTCAGACTTTGCATTTTTCACAGATCTTTGTCATATCAGCAACTTGAATGTCAAGATGCAAGGGAAAAATCAATTTATCGACGATATCTGGGCACATCTGGGCTTTTAAACTAAGCTAAGAACGACTTTTCTCATTTCCCAAAGTTAAGTTTAATGCCCTCAGTAACTGAAGAGAAGATTAAGAATTAAGAAGATGGCTTGAAAAACTGCATTTTGAATTCGAACGCAGATTTCAACATTTCAGTACTATTCAAACAGAATTGGATATTTTTTCCATGCCTTTTAATGAAAATTGTGAAGCAGTGAAGTCAGATTTGCAGCTTGAATTAACTGATTTTCAATCTAACAATATCTCAAGTAGTTGTTTCTAAATATGCCAAAGTTATAGTTTTAAAAATCATTATCGAAAGTAAGTTTTCCAAATTAATATCTCATGCCCAGAAAATCAGTGCAATGTCTGCTTCTTATATATGTGAACATGTGTTTCAGCTATGAATCATAGAATTATTTCAAAAGTAGACTGACAGATGAGCATTTAGCGTCGTTCCTTAGAATCAGTAAGTACATCTCACTTCGAACCTCAATATAACAGGGTTGCCACGCTACCTGGAAAACCGTAAAAAGTCAGGGAATTCGGAAACTGACCAAAACATTCAGGGAAAAGACAGGGAATTTAAGTGTTTTAGTCAAAATCTGGAAAAGTCAGGGAATTTCATACAACGATCCCGCCAAAAAAGGCGAGTTTTGCGCCGACATCGGAAGAGATAACTTTTTTGGTGAATTGTGTATCACGTGAGTGTCACTCGGGCAGCTGGCATAGAGCCAATTTTCGCAGCTCCAATTTGATTGTCTTTTTAGAAAGACAAAGCAAGTTTCCCACAACTTTTGATTTCCAGTAGCCTCGAGAATCGCATGTGCAGTGCATGAACTAAAGAAAGTACCTGTTCTCGTATAAAACAAAATGGGTTTAATCCTAGTATACAGAACCATGAAGGTTAGAATAAAAAAATATGTACTGTAAAGAAGGAAAACCTCTCTGCAACAGACATGGCTCCGTTCCATCACAGCGAGAAACAGCTGTGCATGCGCGATATATCTGTCACCAAAGCTCGAAACCGGTGTCGAAGTTCGAAGGTCACGTTATCAAGAGTTCATAAAATGAATATCGTTTAAAATTTCTTTAAACTCTAAAGAAAAAGAAAATATTTTTTGGCACAAGTAAATTAATTCATGGATTAGTTATTTTGAGGGGAAAAAAAAATCTATGAAAATCCGTTTTTAAAATTATTGTGAAAAATCCAAGAAAAAACGTTTCTTCTTGGATTTTTTGCAATAATTTAAAAACGGATTTTCGTAGTTTTCTTTTTTGTCAAAGAACATTTTGTCAAAAAACAAACACGTGTTTCTCAATTTCCTGTACACATCTCAGAGAGGGAAATTCTGGCTGCCAGGTTCCGTCGCCAAATCCCTTGGCAAATTTTCCCTCCGCTTTTTACATAGACATTCTTTGGTTAGAATAATCTCCATGTATGGTACAGTGGGATTTGGCGACATGATGATGAGCAGTAAACGGGTCATTTTGTTCTTGGCGACAATTTTTAAAATCACGCGAAGGCCGTATCGTATACTAGGATTTTACCGCAAAATCTTTTTTTTTTTTTTTTCTTTCTTTTTAATAAATACCTTGTCATTTTGCAGTAAAATAAAAAAATAGTAATCAATCATCTAGGATAACCATATAACTATATTCGCTAAAATATCGTTGATTATTCTAATTAAATTTTTAAGTAATTATGTTATTCTTATCATTTAATGTTGCTTCTTCCCTCTAAATTTATTTATCATTAGTAAATAATATATCCAAATTTCAGGAAATTTTCTCTGGCATAATCCTGAAATTAATTCTAGCAATATGATGACATCATGAAATTTAATGCACATATTTTTCCCTTATGTATGCTGCGAAATAAATATAAAATATCTCAATTTAGTAAAAAAATATCATTAAATAGATTTCTTTCTTTCGTTTAGCTGCAGAATGTCTGCAAAAAAAGCCTTATTTTATTCCAGATTGGGCAGATTCTAATCTCAATCTTCAGTGGAAAAAACAACTCCTATTATAATTATATTTGTGTTTTCAAGTGTTAAGGTGCCTTTTAAGAATACATCTCACACAAATTAAATTTACCTAAAATCTAACCTAACTTTTAGCATTGCGTTGTGATTTATAAGAACCGGATTAGCCTCGTGTTGAACTGGGGATGATCATGAGTAATAATTAAATAAAACATACAGTTGTTATCCAATGTATATATCTTAAATTTTATTAAGTTTTTTAAGCAGAAAAGTAAACAAAATTATCAAACAAAGTGTACCAAGAATAATTGAGAATAAATGTCCTCTGGGATTTATTGAATAATTAAAAGAATTTGCTACAAATTTTTCTTCATCATGCATGTACTGTGCCAACAGATTTGCTAAGTTATTATATATGTATATATACATATATATATATACCTTTTATGAGTAATATTAGTTTACAGAAATAAATTGAAGATAACCAGAAATTTTAAATATATATGTATTCCTCCTCTTCAATACATATTATTGTAGAAAAGGTGATTTTAACAGTTAGCTGTAAATAAGCATAAATTACTTCAATAATTAAATGTATAATATTGCTTACCTTTTCTCTGTTACTCTCTCTAACTGAAAAATGTCAAAATACCATTCATTAACACTTTCTAAAATTTCTTTAATTTTTGGTGAAGCTGACTCCAGTGTTGGTAGACATGATGGTGTCAGTGGTGGTTGTGATCCAGAAGATGGAACACCTATTAAGAGAATTCAATGTGAGAAAGGTGAAATATTTTCCTGCAACTGTTTTGGCAACAGCATAAAATCAAGTTACCTTTGAAAGCCTCATGAGAAAACCTCCTAATAACTTGTTTATTATTCTGAAATAAAATAAGCAGATATTGATAATGCATTGATAATGCAATTCTGTCAATAAAAAATGACAGAATTGAAGTCATGTAAAACAGGGAAAAAGAAAAAGTTTATTTGTAAAAATAAACTTTAAATTCAGAAAAGTAAACTTTAAAATATGTCAATAATAGATGTTACTAAATTGGGCTAAATTACACTTTGTGATACATTTTTTAGAGCTGTATATGTATCTAGACAAATCATACGTACAGAAATCAAACCACTGAAGAGATCTGATGCTACTTGATCCTCAGCATGGTTTTGTCGTAATCCAGTAAACTGAGGAGAATATATGTCTGTGCTCCGCAAGATGTCCAAAACACGATCAAGTGCTTGCGCAACAAAAAGAGGACTATGTTCTTGTGTTGCTAAAATCATATTTATAACCTACAACATTTCGAAGAAAAAAAGGAGAAGCTTGATAAATATGGATTATAAAAAGATAAATTGGAGAAGCATGACATATAAAATAATATAATTTGAATATCATATGTAAATTGTACATTGTTTTTATTACAGCAGAATGGAAATATATTAGAAGAAGGATTTGGAATTGACTCTGATAAAGATTTTAAGAAATCTTCTCAAGATTATCTAATTGTAGAAAAAAAAAAAAAAAAAAAAAAAAAAAAAAAAACAGTATTTCCTAATTGCTATGAATCAGGATAGAAGACAAAACCGAAGAGAAGCCTAAAAATCTTCAATTAGGCTTATAATTTATGCACATAACTATCCTTAATTATTTTCATTACATTCCTTCCAATACGTTCAAGCATCTCTACCTAGGCAAACATCTCTACCTAGGTTTTTGCATAATAATCAAAATTTGAATTAAAAATGTCTAATCTTTCTTGATACTTATTGCTGTTTAGTCCCACGATAAAGAAAATATAATTTCTGATTTCAATACTCTGATTACTCTAACTTAATCTGATTGTAATACTATAATACTACTAACAGGGCAGAAAGAAATATAAAAAATCTTTTCAGGGTTCCATTCATAATACGATCCATCAAGTAACTCTAGATTTAGCTTCCATGGGCCATTTTAATTTGCACAGTGAACAGCTGTAAGTTCATTTCGCATCAAATGTGGAGCTACACACATTTGTGCTTAGCTCAATGAATTTGAGATGGTTTTCCAGATAAATCTCTCTTCTTCCATGGCCTTCACATTATATAATTCCATGTGATTTTTTTTTCTTATAAGGTTACATCAAAGACCATGTGTTTGTGTTCTCTTTAACATGGGATTTAGCACAACTGCGAGAAGGGATCATGCATGCAATCACTAGTACCACCTAGTACATGCATGACAAAAGACATATTCAATCCTTGACCGAAGATTATCTAATTGTAAGAAGAACTATTATTTTCTGGTTGCCATGAATCAAGACAGGATACAAAATATAAAACATGTCATACCTAGTTGGTGATGTCATGCCATCAGGAGTATTAAGCATCTGTAAGGTGCATATAAAACTTATGAGATTATTCATGTACTGATATGCACTTTTTTTGGATGTGTTTGTTGCAATTAATGCATTATAAATTTTTTAAACTCTTTACAGAATTATGAATTCCCTGTGTATATGTTACTCCTAAAAGTAGCTGAAGATTTCACAGAAATTTTGGTGTAATAGGAAATTTTAAAAACAGTTTCTTTTAAAATACTATTCAATTTTTATAAACAAAAATTTCATATGTCATATCTGAGATTCAATTGACACTTTAAATGTTCTCTGTGCAAACATGGTTAGAAAAGACTACTGTCCCTGTCTATAATGCATTAGTATGAATTACTTTATGAAAGAATTGGTACTTTTATTATCTAATAATTTGAAAAGGCAATAAAGCACCAAATTTTTCTTCTTGACACATGATGAAATCCATAAGAAGCTATGAATCCTAATCATAATATACATAAAAAATTATTTTAAGAAGCATACTGCTTCAAATAATAAACATTTAAATAGGAAATTTTACATTTTTAAAAATCTTAAATATGAAACCTTTTCACAAAGGTCATCAAGAAAAGACTTAAAATGGCATCGACTTCAATTATTCTTTTATCCTTGAAGGTATCGCAGGAAAGCTATTTACTGGAATAACTACTAAAAAGCAGTTATAGATTTAGATAAACAGTGAAGTTCATTATAAAATAATTACATTCCAAAAGAATCATGTATTTTACAGGAATGGATAATTCAAATTGAATATGCATTAAGTGTTTGGTATCTTATATTTCATTCCCTATTGCCAAGCTTAGTATTACTTGCTTGTGTTTGAGTTGCAGGAGAATATCTGTGACTGATGTATAGATTGCTAATAACATCAGTTGTCTTCGGTTCTGTTTATGGTGAACAAGATAGTGGTATGGTTTTATCTCACTTTCTCTAACAAAATTATCTATGAAGTCATCTCTGTCTATTCTATTTTTATGAAGTCATCTATGATACTATGTCACCATCAATTAACCAACCATACTGATTCTTGGTGCAATCCAAGTATCAGGAAAGCTTTTTTTTTCTTTTCTTTTTTAATTTGAGAAAGGTTGACTGTTAATGTTTAAACTTTATCAGATTCTTTCACTAACTGAATGTTCTTGTAATATTTAAATATTCTGAAGCCTGCAATAAATATTTTCCAAATAAAAATTATAATTTAATTTAGAAGGCAAACAACAACAAATCAGCATTATATATGCAAATTTTCACAGGACTAGTTCGGATGGTTTTACCGAACCACCATCCTCAGCTGCCAAAGTGCAAATGAACGAGAGAAGATAAGAATGGCTGGACAGGAGTTAAGTTACTGTCATCATCTGCTTATGAAACAAGAAAACTAAAACAAAATTTCCTTACAGGCTGAAGGTTAAGATGAATTGGGATTAAATCGTTAACTAGAACAGAGAGATTTTTTTTAAATGTGAAACACCTCAAGAAAACCTAATTCACCTATGGAAGATGTTTTTTGAATAAGCTTGGTTGCAGAAAAAAAGAAAGTGTGATTTTCGGACCAACAATGTTAGGCAACAGAGGACTTCTGTGTTTCCTTTTTCCTAACATATATCATGTTTTTTAATGCAAAATTTTAAGGCTCTCTTAGTTTGACCAAACCAATGTAAATTAAAGCGCACTGGCAAGGAACCTTGTAAATACCACAGGAATTCATATTCGGAATAGGGTCCTTTAGCATGGAACTGGGACTTTTATTAATAGGAAAATAAATTACCCGAAAGTTAAATTTCTGTAAATTCCATGCAATTTTATAGCTAACTGATAGAAAGAAAGGAATAATAACATAATTCTTATAATCTTCTAAAACTAGAGTGTGCCTTTTGGTTTGTTGAAATGATAATTTTTAACTGCTTCGTTAATAATGTTGCATAAAAAGGCCCCTGTCAATAGCTACTACTTTTAAATAATTTAGTTCTTGATCAATAGCCAATCGGAGGAGAAAACTTGAAGTGCATGGAAAACAAAGGAATAAAATGAAGCAAACTTTTGTTAAGCCAGATGACATGATTTGAAGTGTGGTGGAAGTCAAATCTATGAAGGTTTATGATAAATTACACCTGAAACGACAAAAATTCTGAATAATTTTGACTTCTCACTACAGCGTAAACATAAAAAAGTTATCTCAAATTTCATTCAAATTAAATCTTATCAAAACTCTTCCAATTATGTTTCAAGAATTTTTTTAAACTGCAAACTTGCATTGCTTCGGTCCATCAGAAGGAATACACATCAACAGTTATCCAAAATTGACCTTGAGCTATATAAGCTTCATCTGGAACTCGCTAATTCATATCCAAAATTCACTACCATTGAACAACAGCCTTGGTATAGAACTGAGAATATAGTTAACTGCCATAAAAACCAAGGCTGTGGAATTGGTAGGGAAAATGACCGACTCCGACTCCTGGAATTTTAAAGACTCCGATTCCATCATATATATGTAAACATATACACATGGGTTACAGCTTATTTTTTTAAATATAAAAGAAGTAATAGATGCTACAGAAAAAAATTGATGCATAGCAAATTTTTTATATTAATTAGCATTTATTATGAAATGGAAAACTGGCATTAGTAATTTCTAAGAAACAGTATAACTTCGCAAGGTTTTCTTTGTTAGAGGACCATAGATCCAATTGATAAACTTCAGAACTGCGAAGAGTCTTTCCACACTGACCTGAATAGGAGGAAGAGCTGTTACTATTAGGGCTACTTCTTTTAACTTTTCAGGATAGATTTTTATAAGTTCTAAAAGAGGTGTCTTGCAAGAGCAATCATATTTCTCTATTTCTTCAGAGGCCATGTATAAATCTTGTTTGTATTTTTTCATTTTTATATCTAAAGGCTCTTGGTTCTTTATTTTCATTCACTTAGCCTTAGCCTTTTCAATATTATCCAAATATTTTTCAAAATCTAATTCATCAGTGGAAGAGGATGATAGAGACTCACTTGCAATGTGTGCAGTTTGACTGTCCTGATTTGAATTATCTAGTTATTCAGAGAATAATTTCATTCAGTTCACAGATGGCTTTCTTTGCCTTTTTTTAATTTGTTCGTCATCCAACAAAATTTGGAGTTTTGGATCTACATATATTGAACCCAGCAAGATTTTATTGTCTAGCAAACTAGTTTCTCTTTTCTTCATTGAAAAAATAATTCCTTCTGCAGTAAACCCTCTATTTCAGAAACATCACATTCTCGCCTCTTGTTAATTCTTCTAAAGATCATTCCACAGTCTTTCTGTTAGTGAAACATTAGGGATATCTACATCTTCTGAAAAAATTAATTCTAACAACCACCATATCACCAAATATGTACTTCTCCATCACGTTGCTCAATCAATAATAGCTCCTTTTCCTGCTCACTTCCTAAGAATGGCATCAATTTTGAGAGTTCTTGCTGCTATTGCTGCTTACTTAAATTTACAAATGAGATTTGTAACTAAATGAATCAGTTTAATCAGTATCGGCAAATATCATGTCCATCCTGCTCCCTTATGTTTATTTATTAATAGTCAGTAAAATAGAAAATAACTATTTATTAATGTATATAGTTCATAAATAAAAATATTAACTCAGTTTGTCATTAAATTTTTTTTTTCAATTCACATTAACTTCATTTCATATTCAAAATGTCCAACAAAAACTGGAGTCGACGTGTTTTTAGCGACTCCAAATCCACCTCCTTTTGCCCAAAAGACTATCTGACTCCACAGCCCTGACAAAAACACCCTTGCATTTAAACTCCAAAACCTCCTTTTACAGTCTTCCAATTTAAGTAGTTCAAAAAGTCTTCCCATTGTAAATATTAAGCCAATAGTTAATATTTCTAGTGTTGTTTATCAGAAGAACAAGAGAGAATTGTGAA